GAATTTGGCGGGTGGGAGGGGACACAATTCAACCCATAACGTAACCTAACATACTAATGGCAGTAAAAAAAAATACCAGTAACATGATTACCAGTGGACACTTTGAAAGGTTGCAGACCAGCTGGGTAGTTCCATCGCTGTCTTTGGTAGTTGAGAAACCCCTGCTGGGGGCCCAGGGTCCCACGTTCCTGGGGGAGGTGGCATGTGAACAGGGGACAAGGTGTTCAGGTGGAAGAATTGAGCTCTTTGCTTGTGGGCATTGGTGTAGTGGGCAGGGGGCTGAGGACCCTCCTAGGGTCCCCAAACCCCGGTGTGGAAGGACCGGCGTCCTGACGTATGCCTCAACATGGAAAGCAAGGCACAGGCGTGCTCAACCCAGAGCAGTTTTGTCCTCCGACCCCTACCTGGCAGACATTTGGCAACGTCTGGAAGCAAATTCGTTTGTGACAACTGGGGGAGGGGGAGGGGTGCTGGCTGACAGCTCCTGACTGGCTGGAAGCTGCATTTCTGTGACCGTGACGAGTCCTTTAGAGAAAGAGGGGACGCGTGTGTGGTCGTGCTGGAGTCTGGGTGAGTGCCCATTTCTGTGGCTCAGGCCCAGCCAGCTCTGCGGAGGGTGGTCAGATTTGGCTTCGGCTGGATTCCACTTGAATTGCTCTTGGTTTTTCTAACCACTTGCATGGTCCTTGTGTTGCTGAGCACTCAGGTCTCAGTAACTTCGCCCCTCAATAAACGGGCTGCAGCCTGAGCAGCTTGGAGAGGGACCCTTTGCCCAAAGACCAATTTAGATAGATAAACCCGATCGACTGAAGGGGATAGGACTGACTGATGAAAACTCACCAAAGGATTTAAGTAGCAGCCTCTCCTGGGGCCATTTAAAATGAAATTTGACTTACCGAGTAAATGACCTTTCTGCAGCCCTGTATGTAGCAGGGCGTGCTGTCATCCTGCTCTGGAAATGGCCGGTGGAACCCCGACCCCTTCCCACGGCATCACACGGCACATTATCTGTTTATTATTTGAGTGCCTTTAATTCCTAAACAACACCGAGGGTCTCCCTTGCCATCTCTTAGGCTCAAAAACATGAAGTCATTGCCAAGGTCACACAGCTAATGGGTCCAACCAAGAGTAGGGTTCAAGCCCCAGGCAACCCTCTCGCCTGAGCCTTTGACCACTGCGGAGTTAGGCCACCTCAAGCTAGGCGTCATCACCCTGGTGACAGGTCCTGCGTGCTTGGACATGGAGTGGAACCTGGTTGTGCCGTGGGAAGCTGGTGGAATGATGAAGCGGCGTGGGCATCTGTGCACATGCACGGCCATGTGCAGTGGGAAGTGAGCGCAGAAGCACTCATCTCCCTGTCCGAGGGGCCGGGTGGGAGGGTTAGGTTGTCCTGTTCTCTGCTTAGACTGATTGAGTGGTTGGAGTGGTCAGGTCCGGCTGCGTCTTCTCCATGGCTCCCAGAAGCTGCTGCTCCGACCCCTTGGTCGGAGGCTCAGTCTCTCCTCCCACCCCTTCCAGTTCCCCGACATCTCGGAGTTCAGCGAGGACATGGCCAACGCCGGGAAGACCGTGATCGTGGCCGCACTGGATGGCACCTTCCAGAGGAAGGTAAGGCATCTGGTCCAGGTCTTGGGATGGGATCAGGGAGGGAGGAAGGGGCCTTGGCAGGCACAGGGCCGTTCACGGAGATGGGCAGCCCAGCGCGCCTCTCCTCCATCTCAACGCAAGGCCCCCTGGAAGACCGGGGCTTGGCACTGGGGGGCCTGTGAGCTGCCCAGGCACTCAGACGAGCCAGACCAGCTCCCTGGTTTGCCTGGGAGTGAGTCCTTTCCAGACTGGATGCCATGTGCTGCCAGGGATGGCACTCGGGGGGCAGCGAGGTGAAGGCAAAGTTCCCTGGCTTCGGTGCTTGTGGATCAGAGGGTATCAAAGGGAAACCCGCCTGTTAGGGGAATGTGCGCACCCTGCTGCCTTTCCCTGGGAATGTAGGCTTTCGGGGCCATCCTGAACCTGGTGCCCCTGGCTGAAAGCGTGGTGAAGCTGACGGCGGTGTGCATGGAGTGCTTCCGCGAAGCCGCCTACACCAAGAGGCTGGGCACGGAGAAAGAGGTAGTTTCCACCTGCCTTCTCCGCGGGGCCGGGGGGGCCTGGAGGTGAAGTGCCCACTCAGTCCAGGCCCTTTGCGTCCCCGTGGCCAGGTTGAGGTGATTGGAGGAGCAGACAAATACCACTCTGTGTGCCGCCTCTGCTACTTCAAGAAGCCCTTGGGTCAGCCCGCCGTGCTGAACAGCACAGAGAACAAGGAGAACTGCCCGGCGCTGGGAAAGCCAGGGGAGGCCCTGGGCGCCAGGAGGCTGTTCGCCCCTCATCAGATCCTGCAGTGCAGCCACGCCAACTGAGGCATCGGGCGCCCTGCTCCCTTTCCTGCTACCACCCCCTGGCGGATGGCTGCCTCCTTGTGCTGTGCTGCACGGCCTTTTCAGAGGAGGAAGTCCTGGGGGACATGAGGTTTCAGTAGCATCTGGAACTTTCTGCCTTCTGCAGGCCATTTCCCCTCCTCTCCTGCCCACTGGCCTTTCTTAGTTCCCTTCCCAGCTGCTGGTCTGCTCACGATCCACCTTGGGCCGGAGCTGGCCCTGCGCTGTGGCTCGGGGTCTGGCCACCGCAGACACCCACTCCCTCTCCCTTGGGGTGAGGGGCAGAGCCACATGCCGTTGTGACATCGGTGCTGCTGGCTTCTTCCCCCTTTGTGGCTTTCACTGTTGAGTTTCTGTTCTCAGTGGGAAGTCCGTGCTGAAGCACCTCTAGCTCAGCACCGAGCCTCGTCCCACGCAAAGGCACTGTCCCTCTGCTGGGACGGGCTCCTGGCCCCTGGGGACAGCTGGACTTGGGCCCTTTGGCTTCCCTTTGGGCTGAAAGTCCTTACTACACTCACTGATCATTTTCTCCAGAATTACAGCTTGTCTTTTAAAGTGGTGGGGGTGTGGGCAGGGTCCATGATTTTTCTATTGTAGTATGTGAAATAAATAACTAATATTAAAATTCACTGGTTGGTGAAAGCACATTTCTCTTTAATGGCCTGGGATTCCCCAGTCCTCACTGTAGACAGCTCTGATGTGATGTGAGTGGGGATTTCTTTCCAGATCTTTTTCTAGTGCTACCGATCTCTTAACCACAACCCTTTTTAACTGAGAAATGATCATGAAGCACGTCCTAAGAGGAACGTTCGCTTGCTCTTCTGTCTGGGCGGGTCTCAGGACAAAATGGGTGGACGGAGGAGCCTGGGTCCCAGGTTGGAAAGATGAGGCCGTGGTCAGCGCTGCCAGCTGGGGCTGTGAGGTCAGGTTTTGTTTGTGAAACAGTCACTTGACCGTCCAGAGCCAAGAAGACTAGCTCAGCTGTGCCTCAGAAAATGGGCTGTTGGCTGCTTGTATGGAGGCAGAATCTACCAGGGTGGGGTGGGTGGGCTGTATGTGTGCCCCGTGCAGATGGGCCCTGGTTCCTGAATGGCCTCCCTGCCCCACCCCGGCTTCCCTCTCCCCCTTGCTCTGCTATGGTTTGCTAGTGATTGGTCCCAGCCTACACTGAGGTGTAGTACCGAGGGGAGGCTGGGCTGTAATTCACAGGATGCTATTAGTTCTACTCAAGACTTTTTGAGACTACTGGGGCCCACTTTTGACAGCTCCCTCTTGTCATTGTTTAAAAGGGGAAGCCAGGAGTTGCTTCAAGGGCTCTGGCCTCTCCTGCCAGAGCTGGGCTTGGGCTCACTCTCTGGGGTGGGCTGGGCATCCCAGGATGGGCTCTGGAGGTGCTGAGCCCTGTCTGCAGGAAGTAGAGGACCCCAGCCACTCCCAGGGTGCCCCTCACTCTATTGAGAGGTGGGAAGTAAAGGGTTACTGGGGAAGAGGCATTCAGAGGGGCAGCTCCCAGGCGCCCCCATCCCAACTCTAGCAAGGGCAGAGCAGGACCCTGGCAAGGCGGTCCAGAAAAACCATCTTGTTTACCAGCTGAGCACAGTTGCTATTTTAAGATGCTGATGGAGGGCAATGTGAGGAATGAGACCCCAGACAGGGAGAGAGAGGGCAGTCGAGAGGCACACTGGAGGGGCAGACTGCCACACCTTTGTTCAAAATCCATTTTTGTTCCATAAAGCCACCCCCCAAGGGTACCCCAGAGTGTACTTTCTCTTCCTCCTTCCCCTAGGCTGAGGCCCAAGCAATGAAGATTATGAATGAGAAAAACATTTATTTCATCTTCAAACCGGTCTCACAGAATCCAAGGGTGCATCTTCCCCCACGGCTTTTTAATACATTCAGAATGGCTGGGGGTGCTGTGGGTGTGCCCCACACCTCCTAACTAACAGTGGCAGAATATTTACATAAAGCTGGGTGTTGTCGGTCAGGCAAAGCCCCTCCCTGTTGCCAAGGGGTGGGAGCAAGGAGAAGGAAGTGCTGCCCGCTGTCCCCTGGAGTGGGCACCAGCCCACCCCGAAGCTGTCAGGAGGGCAGCCCAGAGGCATTGGCTACGGGGTAGCCATCCCGGGTCCCAGAGCGAGCAGACACTACAGCAGTGAGCACCGGGCTGCCGGCTCTCAGAGCAGGGGGGGACAGGGACGCTGGGGGGCAGGGGCGCCAGGGGGCGGGAATAACCTGAGTGAAGAGAAAAGGAGACCCAGCCCAGCACCAGCAGCAGAGCAGTGGAAGGCCCCGCAGCCTCGTCTTTGGCAGAGAACCCCAAGTAACTGTGGCCACCACGGCCTGGACCTGGGCACAGCTCCTGGGGGCTGGGGAGAAGCTAAGGCACTTGTCAAAACAGCGTGTCAGGCACTCCCAGCTACGCTGGGTGGGGTTGGGGACCACTCAAAGCAATGACCAAACATATCTAGCTAAAAACCGTTTTCTAAAAAACGCCCTTGAGGAGTGGTGGGTGAAGCCCTCAGGCATCGGCACTTCAGGCCAAGGCTCCGGCCGCAGCCAGGCAGGTAAGGCAGGCTGTGCATTGGCTCTGACAGGCACCAGGCGGGACAAGAGGGGCCAGCAGCTCAGGGAGGCAAGCCTCATGGGAGGAGTCCAGGATGGAGGAGAGGCCCCGGGCGCCCTCCCTGCTCCCCTTACCCTCCCTGGCTGCAGCTCAATACACAGGGGGCGGCTGGTAGCCCTCGGTGGTCTCGGCGTTCTGGGTGAAGGGCGGCTGTTGGTAGTTGTCCGCGGAAGCACCCGGGTAGGAGGCGTAGGCCGAGCTGGGGTCTGGAGTGGGGTCCACGTAGTTCTGGATGAAGTCGTCCACTCCGGCCTTGTAGCGCTGGTAGGCCAGACAGGCCAACACGCCCTGCAGGGAGCCCCGAGGTTTGGGTTCCTTATCTCTCCACCACCCTTCACCAAAGACACCACGACCCTGCCCATCCCGGCACACCTACCCAGGGGAAGATGGAAAAGAAGCTGAAGGTGATGGCTGCCCGGGCTGAGTCGGCTCCCACCAGCACATCTTCCATCTTGGTGGCTGCCCACTGGTTGGTAAGGAAGCAGAAACCAACGAACCACAGGAAGGTCCAGAGAGCTGGGGAGAGGGCCGGGAGGGCAGGGTCAGCTCCAGGGAGGAGGGGAATGGGAGGGTCCCCTAGGAGAGGAGGGAGGCCCTGGGGCAGGGATCTCCCAGAAGCCTCCAGGAACGTAAAGGGCCCTGATGCAGAAGCCAAGGTGGGGACGGGATGCCACCTTGGGAGGCCTGGTTCCAAAGGCCTGCGCCCATGACTCAACACCTGTGGGTTTCAGCAGATGGTCAGAAGTCCTTGTGTGCAAGCCTGTCTGCTCGAGGGCGCTGGGGACCTGGGCTGCTCCTGCTGAGGCCCCGCAATCACAGAACCCTAGAGCTCTTGGGAACACCGCCTGCTCCTATTCCCCGCCAAGATCAGGTGGAGGTGCCGCCTGCATATACCTGAGAAGAGCAGGTCCCCGATGACCAGGTACTTGCGGTCAGTGGCATTGCTGATCTGGGGGAAATAGATGTCGACCACGAGGAAGAAGGCAGAGGCCAGGAAGGCCAGCACCCCGATGGCACTGGCGTAGCGGCAAGCGTCCTCGTTGTGGTTAAACACGCAGTATTTCTGTCTGGACTCGTGGGTATTGCTGTAGCCCTCGCCGAAGATGCAGGAGAACACGATCAAGGCCAAGATCTGAGGGGGCAGGGGGATAGGTTGAGTGGCCGCCAGACAAACCCCACGGGGGGCACATAACAGTGGGGGGCCCTGGCAGGGGGTCTGGACACTGGCCTCTCCTACTGCTGCTGTTCCCTTTTTGGAAGTTGGGCATCCCAGCCCCTTCTGAGTTTGGGGAGTGAGCCAATAAGCAAATTGCTTCCTGGTGCACCGTCCCTCCCTTCTCTGGGCATCTCCAGATACCAGATCACAATTGCCAGCACAAGGGACACGGCTGGGGATTCCTGGACTGGGGATGAGTAAAGTGGAGGGGGATCTCCTGGGAGAGATCTCCCCAGCTGCCTGCCTGGAGGGGTCATTAAGGTTAGGCACACGATGGGGATTAAGAGCAATCCACCCACCCCAGCCAACCCCCACTTTCAACAAGTTTTAAACAGGACAGGTCACAAAGTCAGAAACCCAGGCTTGGAGTCACCCTGATCACCTCTGCCTGAGTCACCTCTATGGCACCCAACCTTCGCCTGAACACTTCGGTGATGGGGGACTTCTCCCACCTCTTGGGAAAGCCACACCAGTGTGCTCTGAGCTGAAACCCCTGTCCCCAGACTCCCACCACCCAGAGCCCCCTCCAACTCTTCCCTGCCCCAGGCTGGCCTCTCCAGTTCAGCCAGCTTTCTTCCTACAAGGACTTCCGGCCTCTTTGGGGTACTGGCGCCTCCCCCTCTGGGGGAACCCCAGTCTTCCTCCCGCCCATAGTGGGTCCTGCCCACTAAGGGTGCTCCAGGCTGGTCTGACCGCAGGCCTGTAGATACCGCTCTGCACTCAGACCCCTGGAGGTCCTGGAATGGGGGTGGAGGGGGGTGCCCCAGCCAGAACTCTGGGAGGGGCTCCAGGCCCTTGGGAACAGCCTCATGTCACCTGTCTCCTCCCCAAACTTCAAGGCTGCCACCCATCCCCGCCCCATGTCAGCAGATGCAAGAGAGTCTGGACACCTGGCTCCCTCCAGGACTGGCCCAGGCTTCTCCCCTGCCCTGCCGCGCCTGCACAATGCTTTCTCAACAGACTCTGGAGCTGGCAGTCACAAGCCCCACCCCCAACTGGAGATGAAGCCGGAACTCCAGGATGCTGGGAGCAGTGTGCCAGGCCAACTCCTGGCACTGCCATCCTGACACTCGACGCATCTGCTCCTTGGGTCAGATCACACAGTCTGGCAGGGAGGGGGCGTAGGTGCCACCAGGGGACCTCAGAGGACTCCAGTCCCAGGCAGGCCTAGACTCTGCCTACCCACTCTCTAACACCTTGTCCAGCTTTGGGCGCTGGTTCTCCAAGAGTATGGGAGGCCATCCACCTCTCCCTCTCCCGCTAACCTGGTGCTGGAGGGCTCGCCCAGCTAGGGGAAGGGTACATCCTGGGGTTACCCGATCTCGGGTGGGGAAGCAGACCCGTGGCCTGCGCCTAAGTGGAAGGGAGACCCTGTTTCAGGGCGCCAGGCCGCCCCCCACACCCCGCACCCCACGTGGCTTCGGAAAGCCCCTTCCCGGTGAATTCCCCGAGCTGGGAGTCGCGGCGTGCCGGCCACCTGCCCAGGAGCTGCCCCAAGCTCCTCCCACTGCCAGCAGGCCGACGCGCCTGCTCCCCGCGGAGCCTCTCGGCCACCCCGCGTCCGGGCCGGACAGTGCGGGGCAGCCGGCCCCGGGGTTGTGGGCGGCGGGGCCTGGGGGCTGAAGCGGGGGCGGCGGGGCCTGGGAGGTGGGGTGGATGGAGTCCTGGGCCCTGCTCGCCGGCCCC